CATTGTATTTAAATTCTCAAAAATGCCATTTCAAGTAAACAATACCAGACCTCTAATCTCAATTGACCTTTTCATATTTGGGTCTACTTTTCTGGAAATCACACAACACACTCTTCTTATAAAGCTATTGTTTTTAACTTGTAAGTATCCATCGAACACTGAATTGTACCACTGTTTCCTTCATCTCATTTCCTGTGATAGCTGTAACAATAAGGTATAATCACTTAACTGATTAAGCAACTATGTTATTATATCACAACCACAAAACATTTGTCTACCACTTTGGGATTTTAGAGAGGGTATTTTATACTCTTCTCTCTTGGAAAATGTGTACAAGAATTGCCATTTCTATTCTTCTGGAGTTTATAACTCAACCTCTTTAATGCACATTGGGTTTAAATGTGTGTTTGGAATTGTCATCTTGAGGACCCAATCATGGTTTTTTTATGTTTAATGAGAGTCATCATAGAAAATCCATTTTACGTGGAGCACACTTTGTGCTACCTTGCCGTATTGATAAACTGCCACCTCGCTACCTGCTCCCTCCCATCGGTGCCATCAGCCAAGCACCGTCTTTCCCAACCATTTTCACTGCCACCTGGCAGAAAGAGTGAAAATGTGAAATGTTAGCAGAAGAATTATTGATGCAGTTTTTCGCTTTAAAACCTCAAAAATAAATTCCTTCAGCTGATAGCCCTTCACTGGAGGTTGCAATATAGACTTTGAGCAGAGAGAGACTACAGAAGTAAAAGTGATTGTTGCGATTTGTTTTGGTGGTGCAACTGTAAGTGACAGTAGGAAAGGATGTCCATTTTCAGACATGGAAATACTCTTGAAAAAAAATATTTTTTGCTTAGCTTTAAGATCTGTATTTTGTTTGTTTAATTTTAAAAATGATAAGGTGAGTCCAATTCCAGTGAGAGCGATGCGGCTAAAGTTCTGATGACAAGAAACTATTTGGTACTTTAGAAATAGGGTGTGTTTTTAATAACATGAAATAAAAATACAATATAAATGAAAGTCACATGAAAGAATTCTTCATAGTGTGAATAATACAAATACTGATAGTATTTTGTTAGGGGTTCTTAAAAAAAATCAATATTGGATAAAAACTCAAAAATTGTGATTTTCTGGTCTTCTTAGGTCTTATCAGTACTAGTAAATGTTACCTTATAATATTACAGAATTCCTTTGTCCTTTAAGAGTTCTGGTGAAATGTTTTCTTAAGGTGCTTCTATAACTAACAGTTCTCAACTGATTTTCTGCCCTAACTTGCTATGATTTTCCTACCTCATATCTGTGCTTTCTCTTTTAGAAAAAGCACACTTTCTAAAACATAAATCTTATTACATCTTTCTTGCGTAAACATCTTTGAACAGATCTCCATAGTTTTGGGGCAAAATTTAAGCTCTTTTAGCATAAATTATCTGGCCTTAATTATATCACTTCCGCATCTCTGATTTTATTCTTTTTTTTTTTTTTTCAAAGATTTTACTTATTTGACACAGAGAGTGATCACAAGTAGGCAGAGAGGCGGGGGGGCGGGGGGAAGCAGGCTCCCTGCCGAGCAGAGAGCCCGATGTGGGCTTCCATCCCAGGACTCTGAGATCATGACCTGAGCTGAAGGCAGAGGCTTAACCCACTGAGCCACCCAGGCGCCCTCTGATTTTATTCTTAAGACCATGTACACTCCATTAACACATCCAGCCCCTCAAGTCTCTGCCTGGCGTCTGCTTCTCTCTTTCCAAGTAACCTTACTCCTCTTCGTTCAGTGAACTCTTATTTTTGCTTTAAAACACAGCCCAACCATAACCCTCTCTGGCCTCTTGCCTCTTCTTTCTTCATCATCTGGTCTATTTGCTGCTCTTCCAAACTTTCACACCCAGTACCCTCTGCTTTTTGTGTTATTATACAAACCATACTCTGCTCCATTTGTGTTTATTTACTTATTTACCTGGAAGTGACTGCCAATTTTTTTTTTTAATTTCCATCCCCTGTACCAAAGAGAATGTCTCATAATCTGTAGTCAGGCAGTGCATTTTGAATGCATAAATGAATGAATCATATGTTTTCAGAAAAGTGGGGAGATAGTTGCGGTCATTTGCCAGCCCTTTTTTGGGGGCTATGTTTTTGCACATGGTTAAAATTGTAGGATCCAGATGCCAAAAGTGTTTTATAAAATCACTTTTCAACTAAAAAGTTCTTAAAAGTTTAAAAAATTAAATACAAGGAGGTATGTGCTTATGATTAAAGTGTAGATGTTAATTTTACTGAAGTAGATGGGTAGACAGATACAGCGTAAGCATAATATGCTTAAGACTATAAAATATATTTTCATTGTTTTCATTTGATGTGTTTTTTTTGGTGACTTCAATCAACTATTACATTTTAAAAATTAATTATATAAAGAAGGACTTTATAGCACAAATGGGGCTCTAAGATTTTACTAACCAGGTAATATGAGCCAATTCAAATTCTTTCTAGTCCAAAGCAGTACAAATGAACAAATAAGGGATTGTGTGACTTTTATCAGACTATTAAATGATTTTTTTTTATAATGAGGAATAAGCTAATTTACTCTGGCTTAGTATCCATATTGGCACTAAATTTGTCTTTTATAGGATTAATAAGAAGCAGGAACTATATCTGATCTTTAAATTTTGCTTAATATGTATTATTTTCCTTGGATATTAGAGATAATAGAGACCAATCTTAAGCCTTTTTTGGTATAAATAATCTGGTGGTTTCATATCCTCCCCGAAAAATGGACATTGCAGTGTTTTAAGGGTTGTCCCCAAAGTAATTTTGTAACATTGATTTAATCTATCATTCCTATTAGAAAACAGGGAACAAAAATCAATGTATCTGCTGATTCAGTGAAATTGTGTAGAAATAACAAGAAGATTGTAAGAAGCAAGTAATCTCCTGAAAATGCGAGGCAACGTAAACCACATTCTGTTCAAATAGATCCATAAATCTGGCTTCTCCATCCCGTTAGACTGAGTCTACTGTTATCTATAGTTATAGAAGAAAATTTCACTTAGTAGATTTATCCCCGCTGTCCCTGGGGTATGTGTTGAATGTGTTGAGTTAGGAGGCAGAACACGACAAACTAAGTCACTGCAAATCTCAGTGAATTAAAAAAAAAAAAAAAATGCTGCTGCTGTTTCTACACTAGCATTCTTATAAGCGTGAGCCCTTGGCTGTATGTTTGAGGCTACCCTCCATTGACTTTGTTCTTGGACCTGCTCTTGTGTACTCCCAAAGGGCTGAAAGAATTCTGGGTAAAGACTTCAACCGAACGTCATTTATTGTTCTAATTCTTCAGAGTTCAAATTTTAGGATGGTTGCCATGGCCAGCAGCTTTTAAAAATTAGAGTTGACTTTAAACTTTTTTTCGTCCTCCATTTTCTAGCAGGAGTGATGATTTAAAGTGTAAACAGATGATGAGAAAAGTCATGGAATAAAAGTGCTGTTTTCTTGTCAACAGGAGTGGGTTTCAGTGTGAAGAAGATGTCCTTGTGAAAACTAACAGTTATACTGTCTACTGTCTTTCACTTGGCTCCCACTTTAAACTTGAACTTTCTCAGTATTCTTACCCTACCCCCCATCCCTTTAGTTTCTTTTCTATTGGAGTTCCTCATGCCTAGGTTTCATTATCTTTGCCTACATCATTTCCCTCATCTTCCCACCACAGTTCCTATTTTATTGACTGATATGCCTCCCTCACAATCCATACTATATTCATTAGAGGGCTAAGATTTCCAATGATTTTGCTTTGCATCTGTCCCTTCTTAGCTCAGAAAGACCTTGAACAAAATCCCCACTTTGGCTTCTCAGGACTTTCTTAGGCCACATCCAAATCTATGTTTTTCAGCCCATGATGTTTATGCAACCGAGACCCTTCATTTCTGCCAGATTACACACTGTATGCTAGATGTGTTCTTGCTTCTTGCTCTTTGCTCAGTAAGCTCCTTGCTTGGAATGTGTTCATTTCTCCACTTACCTAAACGCTGCCCTTTCCTCAAAGTCTCCATAATGTGTATTTTCTGCTTAAAGCCTTTCACAGCTGCCGTAACACAAAGGGATCCTTTTCTCCTGAAGTCCCATCACATTTCTTACATGTACTATGATTGAAAGGCTCCTATGCTGTGCTCTGAAACATGTCTATCATTGAACTTAGCATAGTCTTAGATAATTGTATTACCTTGCTTTTGCTGTTGTCATCATCACATTTTGTGTTTCCCATTAGTTTGTGAGTTCCTTGAAGGCTGCAGGATAGATATATGTTTTTTATCTCTGTATCCTTGTGTCCAGTAGGGGAACATAGCAATTGTCTGACTAATGCTTATTTATCTAAATGAAATGAATTAAGTATAATCAGCCACTTTCAAACATGCCATTATATCGTTAGTTATCTTTGTATGTAATTCCCAGTTCATAATTCTTTGATGTCTTCAACACTTTAACTCGTAAATTCCAGAATATAAGCACTTTGAGGATAGGGATCATATTCTAAGGTTTCTGGTTTGCTTGCACGTAGAACAATGTCTTATAAATATTACAGGAATGGTCAATGTCTGTGAGTAGACTAATTTCAGAGGAAGGAGATACTTGTGTAATGAAGGGATTCTTTTTCACCTTTATCTATTCAAATCGCAAAACCAAATTGGGAAACCATATTTTTCTTTAAAAGACATTAGAATATCATGAAAAATCTATTTTCCTTTGCAAATATAAGGGCTACAGGATTATTATGTACAACATTTAGGAAGTATCTACTAATAAGTTTTCTTTTCCTTACATTTGATAGAGAGTGCTTTTCTCCTTTCCCCATTGTGTTTTGAAAAACGCCTTAAAAAATAGGAAAAAAAAAAACATTAAAAACTGTGGTTTCTGTCTGGCTCTGAGCAGTCCATCTAGTACCAGATTTTCCCTTTGATATCTATTTCTTTGTCAGTGGTTGATATTTATACACTTTCTTTCCTTTTAAATTATAGCTCCTCCACAGTTTGTGGTTAGGCCAAGAGATCAGATTGTTGCTCAAGGTCGAACAGTGACATTTCCCTGTGAAACTAAAGGAAACCCACAGCCAGCTGTTTTTTGGCAAAAAGAAGGCAGCCAGGTGAGTGTGAACCTTGACTGCTTTTCTGAAATCTCTGAACTCTTCCTGTCTCTGGTGCTTCTCAAAGCTTGTCTCGCCTTTCCTGTTATCGATGTCGAATATATTTTATTTCTAAAAAAGAGAACAATTAAGTCTAAAATAAGTGAGGGTCGGATATTCTAATAGAATGTTCTTTATTTTCCAGTGTTAATATCCAAAATTCTGTATTTTACATAGAATAGATACAACTCAGTGTAACTAAATCATCTTAAAAAGCCTGATTAAAACCTCTGTAGCTATTAAAATCTCTGAACAGAAAAATAATTTTACTTTCTTGCAGCAAGCTACATTGGGATTGTAAAATGAGTTTCTACGTATAAAGTGTTTAGAATATCCTACGCACATGTAAACCAGTCAAACAATATTTCCATTATCAATCCACCTAGAAAGCAATTGCAATCCCCGTTCATAGAGAGATATTATAAATGCCTTTGTTTTATCATTAACGTAAGGATACTTCCATTTAAGAGTGGGAGAAGTATTTAGTTCCATCATCCCGTCTGGATTCGTTCACAGTGAGGTGAGATAGGAAATAACACATCATATACCAGAAGGCATCAGCAATTGCCTGGTCTTTGCTCTGCCCTAATTTGTCCGCTTATGACCCTCTGTGGGTAGCATGGCCTTTCAGACTCTGTTCAAAGTCAATTGGGTACGCTTTTTTTTTTCACGTAGGCAGTGTCCAACTTGGACAAGCACTTAGCCTCTAGGTTCTCAGGCAATGAATGGAATTTCCAGCTTAAACCAAAATCTGTTCTTTGCCTGAGAACTTATCAGTGCATTCCTGAAGGACCTAGAGATATTTTCGTGGTAATCTTCCTAGAATCAACTTTCAGGAGGCATACAGTTCACAGGAAGAGACCTCAGCACCCTCTGTTGTTAGTCCAAATTCTGGAAGAATTTCCTGGGGAGTAATGAAAACCATTAGTAAGAGTCCCAGGAAATCTAAAAACTTTGCCAGAGATGGGAAAATTTTTAAACTATATTAAAAGAACCTGTTGATCAGAATTTATGTATGATTATCTGGGTAGAAAGGCATCAGAAGGGCACCTGGGTGGCTCAGTTGGTTAAGTGCCTGCCTTGGCTCAGGGCACGATCCCAAGATTCTGAGATCGAGCCCCACATCGGGCTCCCTGTTCAGCTGGGAGTCTGCTTCTCCTTCTCTCTCTGCTGTTCCCCCTGCTTGTGCTCTCTCTCTCTCTCAAATAAACAGAATCTTAAAAAAAAAAAAGAAAAATGATAGAAAGAAAGGCATCAGGAAGTTCCCCTTTGTCCTCATCTTCATACTATCATTCAGGCCCAGGCTGCCAGGACCTGAGGTCTCCCGCTGCCCAGACAGTAATGCCCAGCACCAAGGAGAGGTTCAACACCACTCTGGTCACCTCTGCCCCAAGACCCACACAGCACCTGAGAAGGCTGGGATGGGTGAATGCTGGAGAGCTCTGGCAGCTCCAAGGGACTTTTTCTCTTGCCTGAAGCTCTTTCCCTCCACCCACCCTGGCTGCTTTGGGGTCCATCAAAGTCACTCCTGCAAGCCACTGATAGGAAATGTAATGATTTGAATATATTACTTTTTATCAATTTTATAAATATAATATGAGAAGCAGTTGGATTGTTGCAAATTTACACTTTAAATCCATGTTTTAAAAATAATAATAATACATAAATAAATAAATCCATGTATTGAGTGAAATCCCATCATCCCATCTCACTATTATATAAATACAGCTGTATCGTGTGTAAATCAGATACCCTAAAATAGCTCTGGGTTGACATAAGATATTGGATAACATGTGTATTGGACCTGTGGCCCAATAAACATGGTATTTAGATATGCTACATTCTGCTTTAATGGTTTTTGAAGATAATCAAATGGCATTAAAGAATTTCTTTTTCTGTTTTTTTGTTTGTTTTGTTCTGTTTTGATAAAGTGGCAGGTAATTCCAGAGATATCAGTCTCTGGAAAAAATTCTAGTTAGGTAATTTGATTTGATTATAATCTTAGGTCTGGTTTTCTTTCCTTCATGTATCTCACTTGCATCGGAGAGAGTGGGGGGCAGAGAGAGAGAGGGAGACAGAGAGAGACTGTGAATAAGAACAAAAGAGAATTGCCTGAGGAAATTGTAAAGTTTCAAATTATGAATTAGAATATTAGGAAAAATAAATCGGTCTTACTGTCTCCAGTATCCAATTTTTACAGTGATCTATGACTCTCCATCAGTAGAGAGAGTTAAGAGCCTGGACTTAATGGTCCATATTCCTCAATATGTGCTGATAATACCAATTAGCACTAATAGGACACCTAGGCACTTGAAGGCAAGAAGAGCTCTGTAGAATTCCTGGGTTTTGCTTGTAATCCATTTTCTTGTGCCTGTGTCACACAAGCCGCGAATAAAGATGATGGGTTAACCTCAATCATATGCCATTTTCCATGTCATCAAATCATTTAGAAGGTGGACTGATATTACATTGTAGAGGAAGAGATCCCAGAGAGAATTAAGTCCATCTGATGTATTAGTGCTATGTAAATTAGTATTCTAATGGCTAATTGTAGGAAAGTGCATACTTTGAGTTATTGTATTATTTTCAAGTGGCTTTAAAATTTAGACCCTTCTCTTTTAGATGGTTTATTTCAGTAATATATTTGGATTCCACACAAGAATTAGCTTGTTCTCATATTGTTTCCTATGCCTGAAAATGTCTAGCCTTATATAGTAATACAAGTTTTATAGGAGGGCAATAGTGTTTTGAAATTATATTCCTGACATGCTTGCAAACATCACTTCTTTTAGAAAGGGTTTAATAACACGGTAATGTTTATGTAAAGTGGGCTTATAGTGTCACACTCAAATCTAATAAAGTGGACATCCATCATGTTGCAATAAAGAGAAGAGCTTCTAATTAAAGTAGGACATCATTCGCAGGATTAAAGTCATTTAGCGTAATTGAAAAGTGTTAATACCCTATTTTATCCTCTTCCATTGGTATTACTTCAAGGGTAAAAACATTTTAAGGTGAAAATGTGTCTTATGCCTTTAATTGAATGTTATTACCTCCTGATTGTAACGTATTGAAACTGTTTAATTACAAACCTGAAAAATTAATTACTATGTTGAGGAACAGATCCCAGAGGGTTATAATGTTCTTTTTTGTAAGCAAATACAACATAAAAATTGATATGTTCTTATTTATAATCCAACTTGGAAACATACCTCAATATGATTTGTTATACCCAGATGTTTTTCTTAATTGAACAACAGTAAAGCAACATAGGTCACCCAAGTTAACATTACTGCTCTCATATAGGAACTTTCAAAATTTTACGTTTGGGCTACTTGTATTTAATGTGAGATGTATTGTAAAGTAATTTTTCATAGAAAAGAAAGTCATATTGTGAAATTCTTTAAGGGCACATGCAATCTTCAGAAACACTTGACATCTTCTCTTTATTTTCAATGATTTGCTTCATCTTGCATAGATGGTAATATTTCTATCTAGCTCCTTTCAAAGCTATTACAATCTGCAGAAATTTTGTAGCAGGAGTAGATTTGACTGTCTCTTTCTGTCAGTCCCAGCCACACACTTTTGAACATCTTCATTAAGAAATTCAGATAATTACATCAAATATTCAGAATGATTAGTGGAAAGTCTATTTTGCATTTATTAGTAATGTGCAGTTTATAAAGCACGAGCATAGTTAATGTTACATTCCCCGTTATCACAATGTCTGATGAGCCACATGAGCACTGTCATGCCCATTTTACAGATGAGGAAATCATGTTTCAAAGATATTAAGTAACTGACAGTAAGTCAAGGAGAAAGTAAAGGCTTAAGGTAAAGATCCAGGGTTTTTATTTTCTTATTTTTCTTTTTTCTTTTTTTTTAAAGAGTTTATTTATTTGAGAGAGAGAGAGTATGTGTGTACACACACGAGAGGGGGAGGTTCAAAGGGAGAGAGATTAGCAGACTCCCTGATAAGCAGGAAGCCCTACTCAGGGCTTGATCCAAAGACCCCAAGATCATGACCTGAGCAGAAGGCAGAAATTTAACTGATGGAGCCACCCCAGTGCCCCAAGATCCATGGTTTTTAGATGATTATTCCTTCAGACTTCAGAAGACAGGCTGACTTCTGAAAGCATATTATTTTTCCATGATTTGGAGAAAGTTTCCCAGTGAAACTCACTATGTGGCATTTGATCATTTCAAGACCATATTTTTAGAAATAGGTATTTTCTTTTTCCTACTGTATCACAGTAATTATAATAGCTATTGTTAATGTATTTTTCCTTCTGTGTGGGAAAGATATTGATGAGATTGTGTTTCTTTCACAGAACTTGCTTTTTCCAAATCAACCCCAGCAACCCAACAGTAGATGCTCTGTTTCGCCAACTGGAGACCTCACAATTACCAACATTCAGCGCTCAGATGCGGGTTACTATATCTGCCAGGCCCTAACTGTGGCGGGAAGCATTTTAGCAAAAGCTCAACTGGAAGTTACTGATGGTGCAGTATTATTATTAGATTTGTCTTTGAAAAATAGTAATTTTTATTTCAAGATCCATATTAACCAAGTGAAGTTTTCTGAGTTGCTAAATGTGTAAATGAATGCTTATCTTCTAAGTTTGAATCTAGGTAAAAATAACATTTTTAATAGTTTCTAATTCTACAGGTACTGTTCCAAAGGAAAATATCAAAGATTGTCTATTTTATTTTAAAAAATACAGAAATTCTTTATTTTAAAGAAATGACCTCACATTCCCAGTGTATAGATATGTCATCTGTATATTTTTTAGTTTTATGCTGACATGATTGCTTCTAATGGATATTAATAATTTTATTTCATTAAAGAAGGAAGAGATATCATCTTTAATATTAGTGGAAACAGAGATGAGTTCTTAGTTAGCTAATCACATTATGACATCCTATGACTTTTTAATTATTCATTCGCTAAATTAAATAGCTTCCAAACTACTGATGGATGCTAAAATTGTTGGGGGATTTTTATTTGCACATTATGTACTATAAATCATAGCTGAGACACCTACATTTATAGTGATTGTTGAAAAGGATGTACGGATCTCCATAATCTGTTTTTATTTCCCCAAGAGCTTATTTGTCACCCTTGGTAGGTAGGAAACGTGAGATATTTTGTGAATTTCTGAGCACAATTTTATCCGTGTTGTTTGATGTCTTAAACTAAAAATTCTCTCTTGTTCTCTTATGTTTGTGAGGTTTGTTTTGTTTTCCCTTGATGCTGGTTTCTGAGATCTAAGACCTCTGTTTTGTGACCTCTCTGATTCTTTTCCTTCTCTGCTCAAGAAATATGGTGCACTTTTATGCAGTTCAAATTTACATGTGGATTAAATGGTTATTTAAAATTAATACAAAGGAAATATTTTTTAACATCTGTCCGTGGTGTTGCCTGATTCAGCACCATGTCAAGAATAGGAATAAATGGAACAGACAAACCTTGGCTGTAGGAACATTGAGTTGTTAATGGCTTTACCTGCTGATGTTGCAGAAATTTTACTACCATGAACTGAAAGAAGTCAGGTTCAAGGGTAACAGTGCTAAGAAATTCTTTCTTTAGATGGGCAAGATCTTTGATCCTTCCTATCTATGTAGTTTTTAAAAGAAATAGAAGATAATTATTCATCTTTCTTAAGTCCTTATGCTTTCTACCATTAGCAAAAATGTCCAGATATATATATACTGGGAAAAGAAGATATTCTGGCCAGAGCCTAAGTTGTTTTCTGTATATGAGAATAAAACAGTCTATGTTTAATAATGGAAACCTCTACTGTAACCTAGTTGCTTTTATTATTTTACGAAAGACAGACTCTAAAATATTTCTAAATAAATAAATTGTTATGGGAAAAGGCAAACCATATTTGTAGGAAATTAAATTGGTGAATTAGAAGAGCCAGAATATATGACAGATTCTCAGGGTCATTTCTGATGCAATGAAAAGGAAAACTTTTGTTTTGAGAACTTGTGTTGGTTGATGACATAATCTCACAAAACAGTAGTTATTCCAGCTTTGTTTCTAAGGTCAAAATTAAAAGAATAAAAACAAGTTTAAACCTGATAAGTGAGATGACTGAACGGTTTGCTACAACGGGCTTGAATATTAATTCCTACATTGATTTTTACTTAAGTAAGCAATCGCAAAGTCAAGATCCTTTTGCAAAAACATTGAATGAAGGTTATAGAGTTATTGATTTTGACAGGAAAGAACTCTAACTTCAAGACCTAACCCCCCCCACACACACATTATTTATTACAAATAACTCTTTCTAAATACTAACTTGCTACATTGACGTATGACTTTAGCTTCTATTCATAGTTTTGTTGAGTTTTCAGATTGGTTAAAATTTAATGGTATGTGAGCTATCATTTTCATTTGCAACATTTTTTGGAGGGTGTGACCCAGGGCAATTTAGAGCCAATTGAAATTCCAGTGTAGAATAAAAAATGTATGTCATATTCAGAGAAACAAGCAAAACACATAGAGCAGTGTTTCTGTTGCTACATTTTTGCACTTAGACTCCTTTCTTGGAGGTATTTTTAACTCAAGTGTTCATATAAGATGAGATTGCTAATGGTGATGAAATGTTCTGTTGAGTGATAATTTTACTGATTATAGATTGAATGAAGATGCTTCAATATACTTGAATTTCAAAATATCCTTTCAGAAGACCTTTCCATTAATTCGTTGGCACTGTTCATTTTTTCTTTCCTTCTGTTCTTTTTCTTTCAGAAAATTAGGAAATTGTAATGAGAATTCTGAGTGCAGCCAATAGCATCTAAAAGGACTAGAGAGAAGAAATGTATTTATATATTATATTGACAACAAATGTCACACCATGATCTTATATAAATGGTTTATTGAGGATTTATAATGCATAGTTAGAGAAAACCAGGGAATTGTTCACAGACCACTGGAAACCCTAAATGTTCATTTAACCTTTGACCTCAGTGTCATGGAAACCTGCGGTCATCTTTCACCATAACATCTTTGAAACTGAAAATTCCTTCTGGCGAGGAGATTTTCAATTACTTTATTGATCAAATTCATTAAAAAGACATTGAGCTACTCATTTGAGCAATAAAAAAGAAAGAAAGTAATTAGATGTCCTTGGCTATATCTAATGATTTCAGGGATATAAAAATAAAAACAGGTTATGAGAAGTTACCTAAATTCTGTAAAGATATTTAATTTGAAAAAAAGCAGTAAGAATATTTAAAATTGAATAAATAGATTCTACTCTAGTAATGTAGACCCATTTTTCTCATTGAATTTAGAATTATTCATGTTTTGTGATTGGCCCCTTCATTTTTGACCCATAAAGAAAATGAATTCCACGAATATTCAGTTTGGATATCGATTGTGTAGTATGGGCCAGAATTAATATAACATTGTATTTTCACATTATCTGAAGATTATTTTATTTACTTCTAAAATGAAGAATTTGATCAAGAAAATCATGAAAGATATAGTTCTAATTTTTTGTAAATAATACACAAACAAAATTTCATTTTTTTAGTTTTTTATAAGGTTTTTATATGTGTGCATAGACACACATACATATACACATTTTAATACATATTTTGATGTAGTAGGTTTAGGTTGATTAGAAGTCCACTGCATCTTGACATGCGCATGCAATAGATCTATTTCATAACTTCTATTTTAAATTAAAATTGGTTGGCTTTCTCATGGTAGGCTGTAAAGGGGCTGTTTAATTTAATGTTTTTCCCCCAAAACCACAAATCCTAATAATAAAGATGCTGCATATAGATTAGGAAATAGATAATCTGGTGGACAAAGGAGATTAAAGTATTAATGAGCAAAATGACATTTTGATAATGTACATTGTAACACGCACACACACACACACACACACACACACACAAATACTTTATAGATACTTTCTCCTCACTGTTGCTTAATAATCATTAAAATCCACAACTGTTTTTCCTTTCTGTGAAAGTTTTATGTTTATATGTGGTATACATATTTTGGTAATTATATAATAAACATAATATAAATATGCATAAATATTTTGAGTAATTAACCAAAATCCATGCAAGTTTTAGAACTTGCTCTTAACAAAGCCTTCCTTGGACCTCGACGTGTCAGTTTTGTTATGAAGTGTTCTTCTAATGAATTCTGGATGAAAGTTTGCATCCAATTGACTCCATATTTCCATCATCCATTTAAATAATACTAACATGCTGCTATACTTCCTAAATCATTGTGACATACTTCCAAAGACACTGAAGATACCGTCATGAAACAAATTTATTAAAAAAACACTGAACTAGAAGTTTATGAATTGTGGAAATTTTACCCAGATGAACACAGGAATTGATATATATGTAAACACTGATTTTACATGAAAACCCTAATTTGTCATACCATAAATAGAGTATAACTAGATTACTGCTTAATTCTAAGGACTAGTTAAATCCTATCACCCAGATCATAATACTGTTATCTAAGGCCCAGTGTCATAATCTTGGAAATAAAGTATTTATATCTAGTAATTTAATATCAACCAACATATCATAGTCTATATACATGTATATGTATAAATAGAGAGAGAGAGAGAGAGCAAGGTGCTTTGAAGGGTGAAATTGTGTATTATATGTATATTTATAATGAAAGCAAAGATGAAAATTGTTTCTACCCATATGACACTCTATAGGCTTTCTTAAATATGCATGTAAGAGATAAAATGTACATTTTGTGAATAACTGCTATGAACTCTCCGTATTTTTATTTTAATATGATAAATACTTTCAACAATACTATAATGTCAGAATTTATTTTATTGTCATCTACCATAGGTAATTCAGAGTAAATTATAAACAATAGTATGTCCTCAGTAAATATGCTGTATATATATTATAGTATGTATAGATGATAGACATATAATGGGCATAGAATATGCAGGATAAATTATAGATATTATATATGTAATATGCATCTAATACTATAATATAACTTCTGAGAAGTTAAAATATACTGAAAATATCCTTATCCTTTAGTTTTGACAGATAGACCTCCACCCATAATTCTACAAGGCCCGGCCAACCAAACACTAGCAGTAGATGGTACAGCATTACTGAAATGTAAAGCTACTGGGGATCCTCTTCCTGTAATTAGCTGGTTGAAGGAGGGATTTACTTTTCTGGGTAGAGATCCAAGAGCAACTATACAAGAACAAGGGACACTGCAGATTAAGAATTTACGGGTAAGTGATGCTTGACTTGTGTTTGGGTCTTCATTTCAACGTAAGTATTGCCCTCGGGAGAAGTGGCTTTGTAAATTTAAAATCTTCCATACTAGCACAGTTGCTGTACCTTTTATTATAGGCGCTGTTATTTCTTATTTCCCTATTTCTTATTTCAAATTCACCATTTGATGAATTGATATTAGAAGGAAAGTCCTTATGTTAATGATAAGATCATAACAGACTTAGAAACTTTTGATTCTTTCATTCCAACTTGTACGTATCCAATTGATAAAGCTGAAAATCTTAAACACATGAAGTTAATGATAATAATGGGATATTTAAAGTAATTTGAAAGTGTCAGATCCTTTTGATTTACTGTCATGAACAAAGGAAGTTTGTAAGGAAATGTGGACAACTTGGCTTGGCCAAGCTATTATGTGAAAAACTGAAGAGATAAGATTGAGTACATAAAAGGTAGATTTGGCTAGTGGGTGGAAAATCTTACATTTTAGTTTAAGTTGCTGTGGAGTTTAGATTTAAGCCTGTGGGCAAGGACAAGTCATTGCTGTTCTTTTATTGGAAGATGGTGACTATTCCTGCCAATTTAACAAATTAAACTTACTCCAGAAGCAACTCAAATGCCTCTTTCTGAATATTGTATTAGCTATCTACTGTTGTTTAACAGTATCAGCAAATACTTAGAGGCTTAAAGCAACATACATTTATTTGTTTCTGTGGGGTTAGGAGCCTGGGTGTGACTTAGTTGGGTCTTCCACTTCTGGGTCTCACAAAGGAATAATCAGGTATCCGGGTTGTGGTCTCATCTGAAGACTGGGGATAAATTTGCTTCTCAGCAACATGATTGCTGGCAGCAATCAGTTCCAAATGGCTATCATACGGATTACCTCAGCATCTCGTTTGCTGTGGACTGGAGGTTGCCTTTAGTTCCTTGCCAAATTGATATTCCCATTTTGACTACTTGCTTCCTTAAAGTCAATGAGGAAGGGAGTCTCCTGGCAAGACAAGTATTATGACCTTATGTTACATAATCGCAAATGTGACATCCTGTCACCCTTGCCATCTTCTGTTGTCCAGAAGCAAGTCAACAGGTCCCACACACATTTGAGGGGAGGGATTGATTACACAAGGTGCGAGTGCCAGATAGGGACCGCCTGCCCTCTATGAGTATATTCATTTTCATTCAACAAAATGTACAGAGCCCCCCCTCCATGTGGGAATCACTATGCTAACACTGCAGAGTTTGCTAGAATAGTCAAAAGATTGGGAATGAGAACCAGAATTAAGGTGACTAATATAGTGCATGAAGAAAAATTAATCAAAAATTATTTGGTGGAAGAGCAATTAGTAGAATCTGGTATCTAGGTAGAAATAGGAGCCAAGATTTAAAAAAACAACAACAACAACACAAAACAAACAAACAACAACAACAAAACAAAAAAACAGAAAAATAATGCTGAATTTTACTATCTGGAAGCTAGGGAAGAAGTTAAAATATTTTTCACTACATGTATTTTCAATTGATAACAACATGGATTATTTCTTCTCTTAAAATACAAATATATTTATAGTTAGTTATGTGTTTACTTGGTATTTATCAGTGTATCACCCAGATATTTACAAAAAAGGAAGGACTCTTTATAGTATGTCCATGCACACTCAAAGCACACAAACCTTTGTTAGTTTATATATTTGTTAATAAAATTAATATTTAATGTTTTCATTTTAATTTTGAGACATAGGCATTAATTATTGCTTGAATTAGGAAAACATGCTGTCAAATTCAGTTAAAAGACAAATAAATTAGTACAGATTTTAGCCTGTTTCTTTATTGATTCTGAATTAATTGCTAACCTTCTTTGAACAAATGGGAGTTATTAAAAAATTAATGCCACCTCTCCTTGAGTAAACACTTTCACCTCTCTCTTTGGGCTAAAGGCAGACTTGGGCCATGGAGGTTAATGCATTTTCACTGTACCACTGAATTAAAGGGTGTGCTTGAATAGTCAAGATCCCCAGTAGTGTTTGAAAGAAGCAATTAAAGGTGGGTGCTTGATGATGTCAAACAAACTTCGAGCCCTGTGTCAGGCTTCTGAGTCGTGTCTCTGAGATGCAAGTTCCCGGGGGCTTGTCTACAGCCAACCACGCAAGGTGAAAAGCAGGTGATGGAGTGTGCCAATGCATTAATCTCTTCTTAGAGCACTTGGTTAAGGATAAAAGGAGAAGGAAAGAAGAGAGATGAAGCACTCATGACCCGAAAAGAAATTATTTAAAGTTAAAGGAATAAGAATGAACGTAGTGATGATGATGGTGATTGAAGAGTGAGTTTTAGCAACGATAATTCAGCTTTTGATAGGGCTTTTGATAAACTCCAGTACGAAAATGTTGTTCTTTTTCTGACTGTCTTTAAAGGGAGATAAAAATGTGTTTTTACACTACTTGACTCATATAGTCAAAAGAGGGTTTCTATAGGTCATATTCCTTTGTGTCTCACTATTTCTTTCCTTTTTTTTTTTTTTTTTGGTACTTAATGGGGGGGAGGGGATGGAAATAATGTGATGAACACTGTGTTCTCCTAGTCCAGCTAATTGGTAACTGAATCTGTATCTTTTGAGGAGTAGAATATTCCAATACTCATTAAAACCTACCTACCACCGCTAATGTCAGACTGTGTCTCTCCACAATGACAAGGAGATGCAGTTAAGAAGCATTACCTACATACCCTTCTTTCAGCATTTGCACATAATAACAAGTGCTACATTTTAGTTCAGCAGCTATAATAAAATGCAAATTCTTTACTCTTTCACAGACCGCATTCAAATGAACGTCGCATTAAAATCCAACCTTGGCTCATTATATTTAGTTTGTGAGTGATGCTTCTTAAATGGAGAGATTGCTAATGACTATAATGCACACACAGCCACGTATGAAAGAATGGCTCTTTTTACAATGGCTATCCCCCGTCATCCCGCTGTATAATAGAAGACAATTGTATGAAGATAATATGGCAAGGAACGATGCTCCAGAGTAGTTTGAAACTCAAGTTAAAATACATAATGACATTTAAAATCAATTAAAATGGTGGCCCAGCAGTAACATCCATGCACTAACGATGTACCTGAGAATCCATTGCAGAAGGTTGAGTCATCAATACACTTACTCTGTGGACCCAGAAGAGACTATATTCCGTGAACCCTCATATTTCATCAACAATTAGACTCATGTTCATCACAGAATTTTAACTTTGTGTCATGTGACTTGCCTTATTCAGACTGGTCACCAGTTTCTCTGCCCAGTCTCATCTCTAAACCAGTGTGAATCAATCTGTTTATACCCAAGGCCCACAGAACTCAACCACAAAGAAGATTTTTAACATACACTTTTTCATTGATTGGCACCTTTTGCCAAAGCATAGTCACAGAAATGTATACCTTGTACATTTGTAAAAGAGAACTCTTGATTATATTATCAACTACTTAAAAAAAAAATCCTTTCCTGTTCTTCAACGAATAATAAAAGCATTTTAAGTGATCAATGGAATGGCGGTTCTTAAATATGCTTTGAAGAGTGGGGCATGAGATTATTTGCGTGGTGCCTTTCGGCTCTAAACTGCACAGATTCCTTAGACATGGTTTGTGTGTTTATGATATAATTTTATCTCATTCTCTGTCACACTACTAAAATCTAAATATAAGTGAATACCAATCTATTTGAAGGGAGAGACCAGTTTGGTTTTTTTTCCTTCACTTTTCTCCATGTCTTTAAAAAAAAAGTCAGCCACCTGGTATCACAATCCTTATTGACTCTGAGTGCATTTTGTCCATTGAAATATAATGTATTAAGGTGGAAAAGACAGTTTTGCATTACTGATCTCTGAATATTTATAGGGTTCTGAAAAATTCTGTCCTGAGTTGTCCATATGTGACTCTGACACAGCAAAACCCCATTGTAAACTGGAGTTATACGAAGATAAAGGTATTACATTGGAGGGAAGAGGAACAGACAAATCGAGTTTACCAGACAAATAACATTTATTTGTAGAAATACAAAAAAAAAAAAATCATTCAATTCCTGTTATGAATAAAATAATATTATATGAGTTGATTTTAATATGTTGTGTGCATATATGATTGACTAATGAACAATTTGGACAGCCAAATGATACATCACATTTTAAGAAATGAAATATTACCTCCTTGAGATTGAGTACTCTACAAATTAATTAAAATAATTGAATTGTCTCCCTTTGTTGCACACTAGATTTCTGATACTGGTACTTACACTTGTGTGGCTACAAGTTCAAGTGGGGAGACTTCGTGGAGTGCTGTGCTGGATGTGACAGGTGAGTCCTTGGGAATGATCTCAACAGAAGAAATCTTGAGCCCATTTCAGTGATTAGCTTGTCATCAAATAACAATCAAATAATCAAAATTTTAAATTCACTGACTACAAAAATGAAGTCATATGCCACTTTTTAATTTTTCCACATGACATTGCATATATGTAGTTTGATACATTTGTCCTTGATAAACGTATTTCCTCTACCTGAAGAGCAAGCAATTCTAGTGATCTTGCATGAAAGTAAGCATTTAATAACATGTAGGAAAGGCAAGTATTCATTTACATACTTTTGATTCATGAAGATGAATTGCTCATTGTCTAGGTCAACTTCTTTAATAGACTATTTTCCTTCTTTTAAGTGTTATGGCATCTTATGCAATCAGGAATGAAGCATTTTCTGTTTGTCCTCTATAGAATCTGGAGCAACAATCAGTAAAAATTATGACTTAAGTGAACTGCCAGGGCCACCATCCAAACCACAGGTCACTGACGTTACTAAGAACAGTGTCACCTTGTCCTGGCAACCAGGTACCCCTGGAGCCCTTCCAGCAAGTGCATATATCATTGAGGCTTTCAGGTATGGGAGAGTTCCTTTATTTTTTTTTATTTTTTCTCCATTGGGTTGTTGCTTAAGCTCCTATATCCTAAAATCTCACGTGAGCTATCCTGCTGTTTTATCTTAAGAACATGTTTAACAGTGCATTTTAAGTATTTATCTGATTTTATTCAAGAATAGACTCTAGTTGTTTTTTTTTCCACTTATAACTTGATAATAGGACTAAATATGCATTACCCACGCCTAAGTCTATGGGGATCTAGCTCAACACCTAACCACTTAGCTCCTTTCTTTACTCTGACCGTCGTAAAGACTTAAGATGAGAATTTTGTCATTAGAACTAGGCAGAAAATAATTTAATTAGGTGGGACACTTTTTAAGTTCTGCATTGTTTATTGAGGCATGGAATACTGGAAACTTGCTTCCTCATAATTACAGCAGAATTTAAAATAGTTCCACTGTTTTTGTGCTGTATATTTTAATGAAGATTTGGGGTATACCTAAGAAAAAAAACGAAAAGCTGCAATTAAATAATTGATTCCATGCACTTCTGGTTGCTGAAAGGAAAAAATAGGTTCAATTGTTACTTGAAAAAATTGTCATCAATATAAGGATATAGACTATACATTAGCAAATGTCATGATGAAGTCATTGTGAGAATTTGATAAAATACTTACACAAATGGGAAAATGAAGTTTTTATTGTTTCAGTGTTCTTTTATTTGCTTTTATAAAGATAGCAATAACCCCTGTCATTTTAAAGCATTAGGACAAACCATTACTTTCGTTTTAGGCTTCCCTAATCTATTTAAGGTAATGATCAACAAATACATCATTTCCAACTTTCAAAAGACAGTTTTTCTGTAATTTTCATGCTTCGACGTATAAGAACTTTTGAAAAGTGAACGGGCAGCCCTGAAAAATCCCATTTTGTCCTCCTTATGAACAAAAGCAGCATTTGACCTTAGACAAAGTTTTCTAAATGGGCATCCCATCTCTGGCGGGCTGTTAAGGGGTCTCCACATCTAGATTCAGAGGCATTTCACCATTTGAAGATGAGAAATCACATACTGTGTAATGTACAATTTTATTAAAAATGTGACCAAAGGAAAATATTCCTTACATGTTTCCTTTCTTCTTTTACAGAAATGTAGTTTTAGAAGGCTCTATTATAATATTGCATGTGGAATTGATGCAAAAGAAAACACACCTTGTAACAGGAAAATGTATTGGCATAATTTACTCTGTAGTCCATTTATTCTTTCTACAGGTTAATTCTTTTCAAGGTATATATACATACATTTACGAGGACCATATTTATTGTATAAACTTGATGTTGTGATCTTGGCCTCTGTTCCTTTTACAGGTATTCATTTAGTGGGCTGCTGTGCATTAGCAACGGGCTGTCACATCTCCTGGGCTGAGTTTAATTTTGTTGTGCATGGCACTTCCGTTAGGTGGGCTCGGCTTTGTTGTTGAATAAACCGAAATCATCCAAATGTTTCATTTATTGGGCTTAACACTTCAAGTGTTGTGCGTGTGTGTGTTTAATTTTCAGCCATTAACTTTTGTCATTGATACCCAACTCCATTGCCGATACCTTCACGACTGTCTTTAAGTGAAAGTTCTGTTCCTGTTTCAGCCAATCGGTGAGCAACAGCTGGCAGACGGTGGCAAACCATGTAAAGACCACGCTCTACACAGTGAGGGGATTGCGGCCCAATACGATCTATTTATTTATGGTCAGAGCGATCAACCCCCAAGGTCTCAGTGACCCAAGCCCCATGTCAGATCCCGTGCGCACACAAGGTAATTTCAAGGGCTGTAAAAGTGACTGGTTCTGGAAGGAGGCGTTCGTTCAGCAGCTCTTTAAAAACGAAGGGATTGCCTGAGGAAAGAGAAATGTGTCTGCCTTACTTGTTACAATGATTCATTAGACCCGATCCAGGGAAGGAGAAGGGAACTTGCTGTTCACCTCGGTAAATGAGTCCTCCTCTCAGAGCTGCCAGGGTCTGTTGAGTAAAAAACAAACAAACAAACAAACAAACAAAATAATTGTTTACATTTACGTAGTAAATCAGCTAAGTTAGGACTTACTATATTTCAAAAGGAGGAAACTGGTCTCCTTCTTTGAAAGTTAATGATACAATGCAAAAAGTGATCTTTAATGGATCTAATGCCCAGATGGGGATATCAAAATTACCCCTATTGTTTAAGAATTCTATTTTTATAGCACAGGGCGTCTCCAGGCAGAGCTCCGACGGGAGCAGCAGCTGCATATCTTAGGACCACGGTAGAAATTCAGTCTCAGGCCCCGGCTCAGAAGCTCTGGGGGTACCACGCCCAGCAGTTTGTGTTAGGGTGCTCTCTAGGAGAGGATTCTGCTCAAGTTTGACAAGCTTTCCTACAGTGGGTGGGCTTTTCGTTTTTGTTGTTGTTTTGTTTCGTTTTTTTATCAGACCAGGTTAGTTTAAAGGAGCAATTTGTTTCCGAAAGGAGTAAATCAAGTTTTCTTCCGGAGGTACACAATTCTTTTGACTGATTAAAAAAATCAAAAACAAAACAAATGGGCAAAGGGAAAAGAGAGAAATCAAGAAACAGACTCTTAATTTACAGAACAAACTGACAGTAACCAGGAGGAGGTGGGGGATGGGTGAAATCCGTGTTGGGGATTAAGGACCGCACATGCTGTGATAAGCGCTGGGTGAGGAACTGTGCCATCACTCTGTCCTACACCGGAAACTAACACGACACTGTATGTTAACTACCTGGAATTTAAATAAAAACTTGAACACGCAGAATATTATAATTTCAAAACTGTAGATTTTTCTTCTCAAATTAAGAATCACTGGAGTGGAGGGGTTAAAACAGGATGCTGCAAGTTCCATCCCTACTAGTAGATGGGGGGAATTAATAAAACAGACTTTGTGGCTTTATTATTGGTTACAACCGACTTCCTGCAGGGTTCTTGAGAAAGGGTTAATTATTTCCTATTTGTAAAAGGCTTTGAACAAGATATAATTCAAAGTAGTATTTTTATGCAATGAAAAGCACCATACAGCCATAAAAATATTATTATAATTACAATGTAGTGCCGTGATAGTAACTAGCACGCTCTTATAACAGAGAAGGGTGCCTTAAAGGAATCGAGTCAAAGAGTCCCCACGTGATTTTAGAACGTCGCTGACATGATGACAGGAGGGGAGGAGGGAATGCCACTTCTCTATTGTTCTCTAAGCAGTAATGTGATTAATTTTCCATGATGATAAAGGGCCTGTAGGTAAAGAACCTGTCTCCAGAGAAATAAAAAGTACAAGAAATTTGAAGATCTGAAACTGGTTATATTTTTACCTTGCTTGGATCCAGTTGCTTTTAGTGGGTCTGAATTTATTGAGTAAATTAAATTATGGAACCTGAAGATGTATGTGGTAGACAGAAACAGTTTTTGTGTGTAGCTGTAATGGAAGGCAAGAGATAACAGAGTAGGAAAGACTTTGGGTGTGATTATATCCAGCAGAACTTCCTGATCATTCAGTAACTCTGCCAGTCACTAAATCTTGGCTCATAAAATAACTTCTCGGTGAAAAGGTCCAAAAGGATTAATGAGAAGTTGTTTGTGATCTGGCTTGATCCAGCTGAGAGACTATATAGAGCAAAAGACTTATGTTCTCTTAACAGACATTTAATAGGAAAACTCATGTTGTGTGTTTGAATGTCAGTTTCATTTTTTGACACTACACTTTCAGCAGCTTTGCATTCTGCGAAGCACTTCTTTTCAAAGGACACTTTGCTGTGTGAGGTCTTAGTTTGAAAGATATTAAATACCATAGAATTTTTAATTCTTTGGGAAGGCAGCAAACACTTGTAGCATCAACATCACAGTAGACCACAGATATGTCAGCAAAGGTTAATATTATTCACATATTATTCATAATTTTTTTTCTGGATCAAGTAGAATAGCTCTGCTATTTATGTTAAGGATGAAAAACAGTGGAACTGGGGGGAAAAATTCACCAAAACAAAGTTCCCAATTATTTATGTCCCAGTTTTTTTGCTCATTTTTTTATTGCTTACATTATACATTTTCTAAATAATAGCAGCAAATATATATCCTGAGTCATGAGATAAGTTTGTGCTTTACTCAAATTGGTACAGAGGGTTGGAAAACAATAGAAGAGGGAAAGTCCTCCAATATGCCAACATCTGTAGAAAACTGATGTTTCTAGAGACGTCTTGTGGCACATACTTTGTTCTTTAATAAGCAAATAATAGATCTTCCACAACAATGTATTTGAAGAGAGTGAGAGATTACAAACACTTTTATTAATTTTATTTTAGTAAAGATAAATATCGTCTCTCAAATTATGTCCTAGCAGGGATGGTATGTATATAAATATGCTTTAATGTTTTTTGTCACAAAGTTTTGTTTTATGCCCTGCAATTATTTCTAATGACCTAATAGTAATAGCTTGTGTAATACACATTAAAATTTAACTAGGAATTTTTAAATTTTGGGAATTGTTATCTCTGTAGATATCAGCCCACCAGCACAAGGAGTGGACCACAGACAAGTACAGAAAGAACTAGGAGATGTCATTGTCCGTCTTCATACTCCAGTTGTGTTGACTCCCACCACGGTTCAAGTCACGTGGACGGTAAGTTTTCAAAAGCAATTTTAATGGCAGTTTCTTTTATTCCTTCAAGAAAACAAACCAAAGATGGAAAAAGTGAATCCACAAACAAATAGTAATGGAAACCCTCACCATTTAAAATCAAGGTGTAATCAATGGCAAAAAAAGAAAAATATTCCATAGAATAAAAGAGTAGAATAAAAATAGATTGATTGCAATAGAACCATGGCATGTTTCCTCTTCTTATTTTTTCACAGCTTTCTTGAGATATAATTACCATATCAGAGTTAGAATGGACAACTCTGTTTGGGTATATTTACAGAATTGTGCAATCATCATCAGAATCTGATTTTAGAACATTTCATCATCTGAAAATATAACCCGGTGTTCATTGCAACGTGCCTCCTCCATTCCCCCACTTTAGCTCTTTGCACCCACTAATCTATTTTTTGTCATAGATTTGCCTCTTCCTTTGCTATGAATGAAATCATGCAATTTGTGATTTTTTGTGTCTGGCTTCTTTCACTCAATGTAATGTTTTTGAGGTTCAACCATGTTATATCTAACAGTACTTTGTTCCTTTTTATTACTGAATAGCATCCTATCCTACAGATATATCACATCCTCTGCTTTCTCATCAGCTGATGCCCTTTTCAGTTGGTTCTAGTTGTGGCTAACATGAATCAGGGAGCCATAAACATTTGAGAACAAGTTGACGTATGTTTTCATTTTTCTTGGTATCTACCTAGGAATTGCTGAGTAAAATGATAACTCTCAAACACTTGGATAAACTGCCCAAATGTTTTCCCAAGTGGTTCTACCAACTTATGTTTCCACCAGCAATATTTGAAACTTCCAGTTTCTTCCACACCCTTGCCAGATTCTCTCACATCCTCCTCAACACTTGTTATTCTCTGTTTTTTGACTCTAACTGTTCTCGTGGGTGTGGAGTGGAATATCCTTGTGGTTTTGATTTGCATTTCCTTAATGACTAGTGATATTTTCCATTTTTTCATGTGCTTGAGCATTTGTATATCTTCTTTAGAGAAGATATTCAAATTCTTTGCTCATTTTTAAGTTAGGTTGTTCGTCCTTATTATAGACTTGTGTTTTTTATAAAGTGGATATAAACTCCTTATCTGATATATGGTTTGTAAATATTTTCTCTCAGTCCGTGGGTTGGTTTGTTTTGGTTTTTTGTTTTGTTTTGTTTTGTTTTTTAAGATTTATCTGAGAGAGTGAGAGAGCATGCAGGAGAGAGAGAATGTGCACAAGTGGGCACAGGGTAGAGGGGGAGGGAGAAACAGATCTCTCTGCTGAGCAGGGAGTCAATGTGGGACTCGATCCCAGGACCATGAGATCATGACCTGAGCTGAAGGCAGACGCTTAACTGACTGAGCCACCCAGGCTCCAGGGGTTTTACTTTCCTAATGATATCATTTGAAGCACAAAACAATTTAATTTGATAAAGTTTTCTTCTGAATTT